GCAAACAACCTCTGCCGCGCTGTCATCGCGCGGCGCAGCAGAGGCTGGTTGCACTATCTCTCCACGGGGCGCGGTACCACCGGGGCTGAGATGCGCTCCGGTGGCAAACCGAAATTTAAAGACCCGTCGATTTTGTGCGGTTTTTCAGAAACCCGTAAAATGCTTCGCGGGCCTCGTATCGTATTGCAATTTGTTGATTTACTGTTTTTCGACGATGCTGAGTAATGTTCTAATTTAAACCATGCCCTTAAGCACAATATTAAAAGGTAATAACGCAAAAATAATTAACAACTTAATTATCCTGAACTTTAATAATTTTCCTTAATGGGCCCCTGGCCCAGGACCAAACCGCCACAAGCCTTTTTTTGTTGCGATGAGTAGTTTTCGCAATTTGGCCTGCGTTCTCTGAAACATCCTGTATATGGTGAGCTTGTGAATCCCTTTAATGTATAGGGCGTTCCAACTGTCACCAGGCTGGATGGACGAAAAAGATCGACGCCTGCAGGTAGCAATCTAAACTTTTCTTCAAAGGTGTATTTCACAGGTCGGTTTTTTTTTTTTTGTAAAATTGAAAGCATAGCTCTCTTTCTGTAAAAAATGGGGCCAAGAAACTTGCCAGCGTCAACGGCGGGCGGCGACGTAGACGACCCATAGAGATCATACATACTAGCTCTAGAGGAAAAGGTCCGCCATTTTCCCTTGCATTCTGGCAATGCAAGCGGCGGAGCCTGCAGGCACCAGGCAGACCCTCGGGGTCCCACATGGTTACCAACTGCCTTCGATTTCACAAATATATCATCAGAGCAGTGTCATGAGCTTCAACAATGCACGAACTTACCGGTGGAAAGATATTCGCGTTCCTTTCGAAGCTTTCTTTTTGCATAGCACGCAGATGTACGGCCTCCCGTCAACACTAAACTAAACCAGATAACCGGCTTCGCTTATCTGGTTTAGTTTCGTATCCACCCGCGCCCGGAAATACGACACCGCGCAACTACTAGATTTTCGGGATTTCGACAGAAGGGAAGTAAATGCACCGTAATGAGTATGCTGCTTTTTATAAACCTTAGAATAGCTCAGAATTTAGTTTGCAACATTAAATTATCACTGTTTATATTGCTGAGAGTTTTCCGTCTTCGCGATTACCATTGCGACTGTTGTCCTTCAGCTGGCAACATTGGTTTCTTTCTCTCGTGTTCTGTCGCTCTCTTTCGCGATCTTTCACTCGGGACCCAGGATGTCGGCGCGCAGGATTTGCCACTCCTCCTCACCCACCTTTACCCCTCTGAGACGATCAAGTCGAGTAGCGGTGCGGTTTGGCGCTCGTGATGATAGATGGCGCCACCTCGTTAACGAGGCTGCTCGCGACCACCTTGGATTATTCAAATGAACATAGTCCTGTTATAATGTACCTTTGGTTAAAAAATAAATGCGGACAATAAACGAAAAATTTAAAGGGTGAAAAACGCATTTGCATAGCGACGGTGCTTTTGCTGGCCACGGATTTCGTGTGCGTGTCGTTTGCTTTCTTTCGCTGATCGGCTACAACTGCAGACGCTGCTCCAGACGCCATCTATCAATACAAACGTTAAACACACCCCGAAACTTGAGTCGGTCTTTTGCGTCGACGCCCACCGTTGAGCCTGGCAAGTTTCTTGGCCGTATTTTTTACACAAAGGGAGCTACGTTTGGTAATTTTGCAAGAAAAAACCGTCCTGTTAAATACCTTTGACGAAAAGTTTAGATTGGTACCGAGAGGCGCGACTTTTATGGTATATTTTAGATTGAGCCTGGTGACTCGGGACACCCTATACTTCTTTCACCTTCTAGGTCCTTTAGTGCAGGGTGGCGCTGCTATCCTCTTAGTGGTGGCTCTCCGCGTACCTCCGGCATATTGAATCACTGAGTGACTTGCGCTGGCGCAATCGCCACCGTCACCCCCCTCCCCCTCCCCCCCCCCCCCCCCCCCCCATTTTGCCCATCATGATGTTGTTGCTTGTAGCTCTGACTTGGCTCGCGGATAGGGTGAAGCAAGCGACTGGAAAGGAGATCCAACCGTCGGTACCCTAGTGGTTAAATTGAGAACTACGCCGACAGGGACAAAGACAACATAGATTATTTGTTTATGCCCTGGTGCAGCGCTCGACTCACGTGGCCGACCGAGCGTTGCGTCAGAGCTCGGATGGGGCTCCTGTTCAATCAGTGTAGCCGAACGCGAACGCAGAAAAAAATAGGACGCGAGTCTGGCATAATCATTGCCCCGAGCTCAATCGAGAAAGACAAATTAAATAATTCAGTGCCCGTGCCCTGTGTTGGTAAACACAGAACACTGGGAAATACAAGGTGGACGTAGCGAAACGTGTAGTTATATATAGAGCTCATCGCCAATAGTCGAATTTTACGATTCCATAAAAAAGAGAAAGAAAGAAAGAAGGAAAATAAAGGAAGTTGTTTACTGTCTTGCAACCAATAAGAAGGCCCTGGTCACTCCTTTTATTCTGAGCTTCTGCGTTTTTGTGATATGATGACATATTGGAAACTTTGGCAGTATGTTAGATAATTTCGTGTTTATGTTAATAGGCCATTTACAGTACATTAATTATAATATCAAGCGTTTTGGTTTATTTGTTAACGAGTTTTTAATTAGTAAAATATTCCTATGATTTTAATAAGAAACTTGCTGAGTGGCATAATAAAAACTAAGCTAGTAAATTTCAGAAAGATTTCGAGTGGGGGGAAACACGTAGGTGTGCTAAAGTTACCATTTTTGCAAGTGGTGCAGTACTGGCGGTGCGGAAGCGCTTAAAAAGGAGACGGAAAAACAGCGCGGGCACGTTTTTGCTTTTGCACCACCCCGCTTTCTACGCACCGCATTTTTTTCTAAAATGTACTTATAAGGTGGTGGTTTATTACCCTTGGCAGGTTTGAAATTTTAGCCATATCTTTATCTACAATAATTAAAATGTAAAAAATAAAAATGACCTAATTAACCGAATTATCGTGACGAGTATTCCTCTACATAATGTCCCCGAGACCGATAACTCACCTGCACAAACCGCATCAGTCGAGCTTCTACGGCTTTTTAGTAAGAAAGCATTAACTCTCCCATGAAACGAACCGGCGTTATCAGCTTTTAAAGCCGCGCCAAACAGCACCTAATCTCCCCTGTACCAATCGAGAGAAGCCTGTCTTCTCTAGCAGCGATCTGATGGATGAGCTCCCATTGGCTGGCGCGCGTCACAGGTTCAAGCAACGATCGGCTCCCATTGGCTCTCGCGCGGCGTAGTTCCAAGGAACGCCACCAGAGAAGCCATCTCTATGACGGCGCAGCTACGCGGACGCCGGTAAAAAGGGAGCGGCTGGCCGCCGTGCCAGCAGAGCTCGCACGGGGGGACTCCGGAGTGGTTGCAAGGCCGAGCTCAGCACGGCGCAACCGCTTCACGAGAGCGCGCGCGCGGCCGTTGGGAGGCGCAAGCGCATCGCGATTCAAAGCGTCTCAGGCGGCAAGAGGACGGGGCCTTTCGACAATGCGAGGCGGAAGCAATATGTCGCAGGTGGCATGCTTTTGCATTCAGAACTCATAAGAAGAGTTTTACAAACAAATATCTTTAAAAAAAGCATTCTGCATGCGGTCTGGCTCCCGCGACTTTGCTCAAGATTTCTGCTAACTATAAGCTTGATTAAAACGGCACCAGGCCTCGCCAGTTACCTGGTAAAGCTTTAAAACACAAGCAAAAAATAAATTAGAATATTGAATATAGAATATAGAAGAGCCTCAAGCCCCCGAAATAAGCTTTCTAAGCTGCAGGAATAACCTATTTTTTTCCGGAGGTAGGTACAGTCGGGGACAAAAGTCCCCAGGACGCGCGAGCTTCGACTGAAACACATCGCTCTGCCATCTGCCGGCGGGTCGCCTGGTTTCGAGATCACACAAAAGCGCATGCGCGTCCCACTGCGTCTGCAAGCATGTGTGTTTTTTCGCTTTTCTGCGTCGCGGCGCCTAGGAGATGGCGCTTACTGACATGGCACTTATGAAGCAAGGAGTCATGGCTGCTCAACTGAGCGATAAGCTCAGCTGGTTATAAAGCAAGATGCGCTGACACGGCAAAATGCGGCGCAATGCCGCGGGCGGTACCTCCAGTTTCGAAATGTGTAGCAGACGCTCGTCAGCCGCAAGTGCTATCGCCGAAGCGGTGTCACACGGCCGATTCCGAGTTAGGCGCCGCGCCGCTGAAAAGCGGAAAAACACACATGCTTGCAGGCGCAGTAGGACGCGCATGCGCTTTTGTGTGATCTCGAAACCAGGCGACCGGCCGGCAGATGGCAGAGCGATGCGTTTCAGTCTCAGCTCGCGCGTCCTGGGGACGTTTGTCCCCGACTGTACATATACCATTACGTTCGGACTGAATTTGGCAGATAGTATGAAATTACCCGTGAGAAACACGAACTGAAGGAATAAGGTTGATATTCTGGGAATATCGTCGGTTGTGTTCTAAAAGCCTTAAGAGCAGGGCGAATTGATGTGCCATCTGAAAGTCTGCATTGCCCACCAAAGTTCCTCATCCAGTTCCTGGGATTAGTCTCTTTGCAGCATTTTTAATATGCCGCAAAGAAAAGGGCAACGCAGTTTCGCCCTAGCATATTCATGTCCACGAGAATGCTTCCCTCTTTCGTTCTCTCTCACAAACTAGAGCTTGAGTATCTTCAATATTTTTGGAGCTGCACCTCTTTGTTGGTATAGATGACAATATTAGCCTTTTAAAATGTCTCTTGGCATGCCAGTGGGCCTTTTTTAAAATTACTAGTCGTTATATAATTTGCGAAGCATTCTTGGTACGTACATTTTAATGTTTTGCCGGACAGTCACAAAAAAGGCTTCCTCTTGGGTCAGCCGGCGTCAATTAGACACACACTTTTCCATTCATACTTCATTTTATTACCTTAATATTAAACATTGGTTTAGTGTTTCTGTTAGGTATACTGTGCAACAGACTTATAAAAGATTTTTAAACAAAGAGTTATGTAAAGTCACTTGGGCCGCTTCTCAGAAACACCTTGAAAGCTTTCCCCTGTTATGCATGTTTATTCAAGAAGCGACGATGTCATATTAGCCATAGGCTTTACACATCTTCCATTCAAGCATACTCCACGGCTCAAGCCCAAATGTCTCTGGGGAAGAAAAATCACAATATAAAGTGTAATTTTAAGACCATAGATAGGCTTTATATTGCACAATGCAACGTATTTGTTTACTCGTGTTTGCCATTATAAGCAAACATACACAATCACGTTTAAAAAAATATTATCAGCTAATAATTTTTTGCAACGTGTTTCCATGATTAAATAGCGCGGTGTGTTTGGAGGGTCACGTGACCTTGGAGGGTCACGTGACCTCGGGAGGTCACGTGACCCTCCAAGGTCACGTGACCTCCCGAGGTCACCTGAAGGTCACGTGATCCCCAAGGTGACCCCCACGTGACACCCCAAGGTCACGTGACCCCCCAGGTCACGCCTCCCCGAGGTCATGTGATCCCCCCCCCGGAGCATATTAAAGAATGAAGGGAGGAGGAGGAGGAGAAGGAGGAGGGGTCTACCCTCCCCTCAGTACCCTTCCCTCCTCCTCCTCAAGAGCTGCGCTCCCATTCGGCGTTACAGGGATTTGTAAACGGCTTTCACTTTTTTAAAATCTAAAACTGACACATTTAAAAAAAAAAGATAACTTTTATGAAATTACACACTTTCATAAATGAGGCAGTGCCCTTAAGAATAAAATGTAACCATGTTCTGATTATAAGTATAAAAGAAATAGATCACTCTTTTATTTTTGTTAAAGAGTGACAAATTTGAATTGAAAGGAATGTTACTGTTGGGTGTAACGCACTTTTTAATGCATAGTGATTACTTAATTGTGAGTATTGATAATTTGCCGATGTTTTTTAAAAGGAGAGTATCTAAGAATGTCCGTCAATCAAAGCTCCCGTTTTCTAACATGTAACATACACAATTGAAACGGTAACTGCTCGAGAAGTCAGAAAATGCTAGACGAGGTAGGATTATTATTTCTACTCGAGATAGAAACTTGTGATCGGACGCAACCTTCTCTTAAACAGCTTTTGAACTGAAACCCTAATTTGAGAAAGGTTTTAAGAGTGGCTGATTGTCAGACCTTTTGTTCGTTAATGTGGTACGAAACAGTGTCAGACCAAGTTGTTTATTTGCAAGTTACTGTGACAGTAAATTCAAAGCACTTTACGCTCTCATTCAATCTGCTACGCCATGCATAAAAAACTGTCATGATTTATTTATTTCTTGTCATTCTAGATGTTAGTTAATTCTGAAATAATTGCTCTCGCGGGATTCAAGATAGTTTTAAAATCAGTTTGGCAACGTAGGTGATAAAAATCTTTATTTTTTTTTCTCAGGATCTTCTTCCGCCTAATGATTAGCGAGGACGGGATTAAACACATAAACCTTTATTTTTAGACTTTCGCTTGTCATGCGTTCGCAGTAATTTAGAAAAACAACTGCAACAACACGAACAACTAATTCGGGACGTGAAGCAGAGGAAAAAAAAGACAAGCAGGAACGAAGCATACTTGAACATCTTGGGAAGAAACAGCGGACAAAAACTTGGACACAGTAAAGAAACGTACACGACAGGACGGCTCAGCGCCGTCCTGTCGTGTATATTTCTTTACTCTTGTCCAAGTTTTTTGTCGCTGTTTCTTTTCAAGATGTTCATCTCAAACCAATTAGCCCAACACGTCCCATTGTTGAAACATACTTGCATCATGATCGATAGAATGAATCATACGGTTAATAATCCGTGTAAAAACTTATTCTTTGCATCTTTTTTATACGTGGAATCCAATGAGCCTGTAGGTAATTTGTATTTTAAGATCGAAACCTATACTTAGGCCAGAAGCTTTGATAGGGCTTTTAGTTCGAAAAGCTTATTTTTGTCGCCAGCATATGATCTATTCTTGAGACCGACTCAAGAACTTCACAACACGATCACAGTCTCGGCCAGTACTGCAAGCGTGAGCGATGTTGACTGCTATAATTACTGACAACTTGAGAAGCGCTGAGCGTGGGTTATTATGTTCGCACTTCTTGCTTTGTGAGTCGTTCCTCAAGGTTCTTGTGAGCTAAAAACGAAATTTGATTAACTGCGAAGTGACAGTAAGATGATAGGGACTGAACACGCCTCATGTTTTTTAGGCTGTTAGTGAACATAACCTAGCGGTTTTCAATCTCTATTTCAGTTTCCTACAGCTCGTGTTAGCGGCTGCTAAAACTGGTTCTCGACCCTTTAATACGGTGACTACGTTTGCTGCTCAACGAGGCCACCCGGTGTGTCGAAGAAGCTGCAATTTGTCGAAAAAGATCGCGAGCTTTCTTAAAGTTTTCAATATCGTTCCTAGGGAGTTTGAAATTATACGTAAAACAAAACTATGGGAACGCAACTTAGCTAAGGTCCGAGTAAATAATATATCGGCTTGAATTTACATACAGAAAGTAGGACGACTAATCGAATTCCTTAGCTGTGGTTTTGCGTAATGTTCACAAATCAATATTAAGCTCGCGCTCTCTGGAGACATTGACCGCAAGAGACGCTATAGTCTCGCCCTAATATTTATATATAAAAAAAACAGAAACTGAACTATTATTAACAAAAACAGAAAGATAAGAACTGCAGGGCGTCCCTCTCGGATGCCCGGCCTCTGGCGCGTGCTTGTTGCCTTCCGCCATGCTTCGGCTGCGCGTGCATACTGGAGGCTTATGAAACGCCGAGGCGTTATCGAATCTAATAAGCTTGCAGCAAGAGTAAGTATACCACTCTTACGTTCCCAACCTGACAGCTATTATAATGAGTTGGGTGGAGCTATCTTAATGCAGGAACTAGCGAAGTAATATTTTATGATTTTGTCTATTATGAATAGTCAGAGATATTTCAAATATACTGACAGTGCATTCGGCGGTTCTATACCAAAATAATTATACGCACCCTGCAAGACGTTCCGTTCGGCTTATGCTCGAGGGTAAATGTTGGCCAAGAATGAAGCCCCCAACTTCCATGTTGGCAAATAAAAAGACAAGGTGGCCAAAGTACTGGCTGAAAGAGAAATGTGGAAGGCTAAACAAATTGTATTTACATTTGTAAACAAATTTGAATTGGCAAGAACAATAAAATTACAAGCTTTCTCATATATGCAGCCGATTATAAACTTTAAGTTAATTAAATAATATTTTATATAAGTGTTTAATGACACGTCGAACTGCAAACTCAATAGGTCAATTCAACAGCGGTTATTCTATTTAATCCATTTTCACAGTGCCGCTATTTTATAATTGAGAGTATCACGTGTACGGCTATTATAATGCGCATATAAGTCATATTAATAATTGATTTAATTGACGAAAATTAAACTCTAGCAAAGCTAGCCATAAATTGGAGATGAGTTCTCGACTTCATCAGTAAAACAGAGGAGTTTTTTATACGTATATACATCTTTGGCTTCTCAGGCAAAAACGCCTTTTGTAGCGCCCTATCTACAAAGGGTAGTGCAGAATGTCGCTCTAAACAAGTCTTTCTTAGATTGTTAGAGTATAGAATGAAATAAAATGACAACTAATGCTGGATATAAAATGACTATACAGTGTGTTTTTAGGCTTTCCAGATATGTTTAAAAAAGAAATGTGAAAGTTACAATAATGCGTGTTGTGCCGGTGAGTTATATGGCCAGGGGGACATATGAAGGGAAAATGAACGTCACGATAAGTCGGATAACTAATTAAAATACATTACCGCCAAATCAAACAGGTAAAAAGAGCTTAGAGCACGGGGAAAGCAAGGTGAAGCGCTAAAGGTAGGGCTCGTGCTGCAGGAACAAGGCTACCGTTGCCGTAACGCGCTCACGCGGTTTCTTTTTCTCTTATCCGCGTTTTCTCTTTTGCTGTTGCGCGACTGGCAAATTTAGTGAGCTAATGCTCATTCCATGCGCTCAAAGCTTTCTAATTTTACTGATTTAGTGGTTTTTGATGAAGCTTTGCAAGTTGTAACTATTATAATTGGAACTATGTGTTTATTCTCACTCGATACAATGCTAATGAACAATTTTGAGTAAATTATGAGACTTATTCTGACGATTAGCCCCGTATATTTTGTACCGTAATCGTATTACTCAACTTCACAAACAGCACTAGTGTAGCTTTCCGAGCTTTCTTAAAAAAATCTGTATGTTCTAAAAGAAAACCTCTCTCTCTCTCTCTCTCTCTATATATATATATATATATAGGGTGTTTTTTTATTCTTACACATTTGTTAAAAAAAAAAAAGACCCGTGAAAGCTACACTAATGCGGTTTGTGCAGGGGGGTTATACGGCCAGGCGGACATTATGTGGGTGGCTAATCTTTGGGACAAGTCGTCTAATTAATTAAGATTTGTTAATTAACTTTTTAATTATTGAAAATAGTCATATGGTTCCAAATAGAAGCTTGCTGAGCGTCACCCAAAACCCCTAAATCAGTCATTTAAAAAAAAAAAAAAACATTGAGCGCGTGAGAATCGCAGTTGTGCGCTAAAGTTACCACCCGTGGAGCAGGTACAAGGCTGGGGCTAGATATGAGACGGAAAAATTGCACGGGCGCCTTACCGCAACCGCTAGCCTTGTACCTGCTTTACGAGTGGTAACTTTAGTGCACTATTACGCTTCTGACATGCTGAAAGTTTTCCTAAAAATGACTGGTTTTGGATGACGCACAGCAGGTTTTTAATTAGAACCATATGTCTATTTCCACTAATTAAAAAGTGAATTAACGAATTTTAAATAATTAGCCGACTTCTCCCAAAGATTAGCCACCCACATAATGTCCGCCTGGCCGTATAACCCACCTGCAAAAACCGCATTAGCATGCTTTCGCTTCCACAACTCCTACGCAATGCTTAGGTGTACCTCGAGCTTTTCTTTCTTTTTCTAAAGAAAAAAACGTGTGTAAGCAAAATTTATTTTCAGCTCTTTAATCCGTACGTGACAAGGTACAACTACCACGATTAATTGACCTTATTCCAAACATTGTTGCACGGCCCCTTTAAGTCAAACGAATTAAAGCGCAGCTGTTAGGCACCCGTTTCCGTGTTTCGCAGCGGCGGCGTCGGCGTCGGCGTCGGCGTAACCGCGTTAAATTTAGGCGAAAAATTGACGTCGCTTGACCTCATCGCTAATACGATTCCCCGCTAAATCTAGCGTGGAAAATCAGTACCTCCGCTAGACTTAACAGGCAAATTAAATTTCTCCGCTAGATTTAGCGGGAAAATTAACGTCACATGACGTCAACACCAATTTAATTCCCAGCTAAATTTTGCGGGGAATCGAATTTGTGTTGATTTTACGTGACGCCAATTTTCCCGCTAAATCTAGTGGAGAAACTGAATTGTGTGCATGGGTGACGTGCCACCGAGTTATGTGACGTCATTTTCCCCGCTAAACTTTTGGGAGAAATTTATTTGGGGGAGGAGGAGGGAAGAGGAGGAGGAGGAGGGGCACACCCTTCCCTCCGTGCCATCCATTCCTCATCCTCAAGAAATGCGGTCTAATTTCGAATTACAAAGAATTGTAAACACATGTTATTTATTGATTTTTTCTCCTTTTTTACTTTTATTATAATTTTTTATCAACTCGAAACAGTGAATGAGGTTTCTTAATTTAGAATACATTAAGTTTGGTAATTATGGCCGTCAAAGTATAACCACAATGAAAAAGGCTCAATATTTGCAGAGGGTTATGACGCCGCAGTGACATTTGGAGTACCCAAGCTGACATCCAGAAAAAACAAGGAGTCAGTTTCAAATGTTAAGTTGACATTTGAATGCTTCTAAATTTGATTTAAAAAATACGCACTCACCACGAGTAAAATTGTTTTTCTTTCAAAATATGGTTATATTTTTTTATGGTTTTATGCATTTTTAATATGGTTATATGCAAAATATGGTTATATGCATTTTTTTAAAGAAAAACGAAGTGATTAATTTGTGAGAATATGTTACAACGCTTTTATTAACGATTTCAGTAATTAATTGCGTGACGTTCTTATACAACTATTAATCTTTTTTCTAACGCAGATACAGTATTGCGGGTGCTCACAATAAGTAGCTAAGTACAAATATATGTTTTTCTAATACATAAACCGATTCGAAAAAAAAAAAACTCTTTTTTTTTTCGAGCTCCGTCATTGCCCTGAATGTATAACTCAATACATGACTGATACGGCGGGTATATGTTTGTTGTTATAGCAAGACAAATAAAAAAGATTTCTTGTCACTTATGCCATAATATTACACAAAGTGGCCGACTTGCTTGACGACAATTCGACTGCTTTTGCATTCGTTCAAGAAGTACATTTTCGAATTACTTGTGATGTACCCATTTCTTAACTCTAAAATGCATTTACAGTTTAAGTTAGAAGTCACCTCTCGTCATCTGTTCTTCTCTACGTCTTCCTCTTTTTATGCTTTGTATCTATACTTTCCATTGTCATGAACCAACTCGGCTGCATCGCTACATTAGTTGAAGTTTTATGTTTCAAGAGATGGAAAGGAAATTAAGTGACACAATGTATCTGCTCTTACCCATTTCTTTGTGCAATCCGGTTCAGCTGCCTTAGCTGTAACAAAAATATATCATAAATATTGCGCGAAAGAATTAACTCGTCCAGTCGTCCAAGTATTTATAGTAGATTTTGTCCCTTGGGAATTTTGGTTGAGTTAAGAATCATTAGGAAGATTTCATCCTGGGCGCCGGTAGTCAATGTCACCGGTAGAAGACAGCCACTGTGCAGCTCACACGTAACGCAAGCATGGCGGCATTTGAGGTGAAATTACCACTGCTGAGTGAAGTAAGTCGCTTTAGATAGCCTATAATCAGTGTTAGCTTAAAAACCGCAGGGTGTTGCTGATTTTGTTCGTCTGCTCGTTTTGATATTTGTTATTTGGCCATTTCATCGGCTAATGCCGCAATCTGACTTGCAGTGGAGAGTTCATAGATCTCTTAGGACTGGCAACAACCTGCTTCGCTTGAGCAATGCTACATTTAGTACATCCCGATAACTCAAAATTATGGTGTGCCCAGAACAAAGGTGTAACACAGTAGCGTCTCCTTTATTATCTCTCATTCCGGCGCTCGAAACACGTAAGAAATGTGTTACAGTTTTTTGGGACCCGCGTAAGAACTGCTATAATTGTGCTGTCTAGTCTGTGACACCACCCGCAGATCCCAATTAGCAACAATCTTAATGAAAATTACTAAATAACTCTGTTATTTGTAGCGTATTGGTGCATTCAACGTTGCGTTCTGTAATTACTCTTATCATACTTATTATTTATAGTTAAATTTCATCGCAAATAATTGATCGGTTGTATTTATCGATGATGGCAGAAAAATATATTTTGCAAATCATAAATGGTCGCGATAACTGTTTCCACTAACTGATATACATAACTCCGAGGTGACTAAATTAATTTTTATGTTACTAACATCACTAAAGCAACTCAAAGATACAGTATAATAGTAAATGATCTAAAGCTGTATATTTTTGTTGTGGCCTTGAGCTAGGGGAGCACATTTGTGGAAGTAGTAAACTTTGTATTTAACCATTTTCAAGCTACGTAATGTATTATCACCAAAACGTGATTGAGCGATTAAAAATATAGGGGCTAGGCTAGCCATATTTATAGGACGTTATTCGAAATTGTGATATCATATCATTCGGAAACGTTTTTTTTCTATATTGATATCGTAGGCAGTTAGCATAAATATAAACGAAACATTAAAAACTTTGATTTAGAATATTTTAGACATAATCTAATGAACTCATTACAACCCTACATAACTGGAGGCCATAAATCTTACCAACGAGGCACATTGCTAAAAGGCCCAAAATGCAACTGAAACGCATTGTCGCTGTAACCACAAAAGCTAGTGATTCGGGTTTTGAAACCTCTGAATATATACTCACTGCCAGCTTTTTGTTGTGTTTATGTTAAAGGTCGCAAAGAGAAACACATTGTGACCTTATGTTGCATGGTTCATGATTTCGTTTTCGCTAGATTCTATTTTCTAGGAATCGCCGCTTTTCAGTTGTTGCTTTTTTCAGAAGCCTGACATTTTGGTGTTTGGGGATATTTTCTGTTTGCGTAAAAGTCGCTCTTTTTCGACGTGAGTTGCCCACTCATAACCTTCTATTTACGCAGAAGCTCGGCAGTAGCTATTTTGTTTATATATTTTTCTTTTAGTATAAATGTCATCATCACTATTTCTTCAATTTCGTTCCCATAAACAACCATTGGTCTGCAATGTGGCGCATATGTAAAACGTTCTAAATTAGACGTACACCAATGCATATAAAAACCTCCCAAGCAAGCGAAAGCAAAAATGCACATTACAGCTATTTTTGTTAAATTTATTTTTCGTGATGTCTTATGATGTTAACCTCAAGTCAGTAAAAAAAGCGAGTGCCTTTTGTTTTTAAATTATTGTATTTTTGAAAGTAGGACTCCAAAGCAGCACATCATTGTTGAACCAACATCGGCACATCACTGGCAAAAATTGGATGCAATATTGGCCTAAGGTTGTTTTTCTCGAAAGCGCTACCCGATCCAACGTTGAACCATTCACTAATGCCAATGTTGGGCCACGATTAAAACATTATTTAAACCAACATCGGGCCATCATTCATACTACCGTTGGGCCGTCATTTAACCAACATTTAAGCCAACGTTGGGCCGCAATTTAACCATAAGCTAAACCATCACAAGACCACTGTCGGTTGTGGGTCTTACAACTAATAATGGCATTCAACTTTATTCATTGGCTTATCCAATATTGGCTCCCCACCCTATGCTCTGGTTATTTCAATTTGGGCATCTGATTTCCACAGCGGGTTGTGCTATTTTCGGCAGCCATTTTAGTGGGCATACAGCTTTCCATTCTGATGTATCTATAGTGTTCAATAGAACACTATAAATACATCTGTACAGAAATGTGCAGCAGACAAGCCATATTCGCTGTGCAAAACGTTAAGTCAGTATTGTATGCCGGTAAACATGAAAGTATTCAATGCAAATTATACCGCAAATACATTTTATTTGTAATTTCGATGGAAGGAACAGGAAAACAAAAATGAGTGCCTGGCTACATCCCTGCAACCTGTTAACCGGGCTGGAACTTGATGGGATCCCACGCAGGGTGCTGGGCACAGGGTTCTAAATGAGACAGAAGGGGGGGAGCTTGAATTTAGGTGAAGCTAGGGTTTCAGAGGCCAGATTTTTGTCAGCTCCAACTATACCTCGTACCACTGTAATTTGAAATATTCCTTCACCTTTTTATCTTCAGTCACTGTCAGTTCTCTCTTACGCTAGCCAATCATGAATATCAAAATAATATATAGCTTCATTATTCGCCGCCTTCTAATTAACTAATTGATTAATCGCTTCAGTTGCTCTTCAAGTTTAAAATCTTAGAGAGGCCTGCGGACTTTTCTCTTTATTTATTTTTCGAACTTTCTTACCCAGCGGTATATATTTTCGTAATTTTGTATATTATAAACATGTGAATACTAGGAGACAACAGTCCTGCCTTCTAAAATAAGTAGATATGCAGGTAAGACACCTGGGCAGGCTTGCTTTTTTCAGCGTCTTAGCTGAGACTGGGAGATAGAAAGCACTCCAAAGGTTGGGGCGCGCGAGAATCTTGAGACGTGGTTTGAGTCCCGCTCAGCTCGTGCGCTGGCTTTGGAAGTGCTTTCTTTCCACACTTTCAGCAGAGACGCGGTTTCTAGCAAGCCGGCCCAGGCGTTTACCGTTCTTTTGTTCGCCCGACTTGTCCTAACTTAGAACTGAACCTATCTAAATAAACATATTGATAATGATTAAAGAAGTTAATCATATAGTAGGAAGGTAAATCAATCAATTACTTAGCCCTTCTCTTGCAACATATTAATTACGATATCGCCAATTAGGTTCACACCTATATTTCTGTGTTGATTAAAAAAAACTGTTTTATGACCTATTGCATCTTCGGCAAAGAAAGATGTAGCTTTAAATGGCCCATATTGCCTCCGTATTGTTTTAAAGTTCTGAATCAAACAGCTGGCCTCCCTCTTCAGCTCACCAGTGTCAAATGTCCTGCTAAATTAACAGCCCAATAAATACCCTGCTACGAAAACAATATTACATTTGAAGAGAACATGATACTTGAATGAATCAAAGAATTAAAAAAATCATGCACATAAAAGCTTGTCCAACAAAGACAATTACTGAAACTTTACTCCAACAAAACAAACCGAATCTTGGCAAATAGCGACTACTCAGCACTTCTGTTGTATTCGGCTTTGAAGATACTTGGAAGACTTTGATATAGCACACACTTCCCACAGAGATTTTAAAGGGATCATGAAACAATTCTGAAATCTAATTTCATTCACCGCACGTCGTAAAACGTGTGAAAGGAAAACTAAAATACAAAAATAGAGTGCGAATAAAAATGTTTTCGACATAGAACTTTTGAAAGAAAATCGGACTCTTTTATATCTTCTATACTTCAAACGTTCTCTGCCTTTTGGCTGAGGTGCCTCCGCGGTGCCAAAGCACGTCAGCCAAATCCACGTCGCTTATTGGACCGCGATCATAAAAAATAAATAGCCGGCGAATGCACCTAGTAGTTTTGTTAAAGAATCTTGTCATCCACATTTTGTAGCATAATTCACGGTTTCACAGGGATTGCCGAATTTTATAATGCTCGCAGCCATGCGCGATCTATCGTGTGGTAAACAAAGCAAAAGAAAGATCAGACTGCGCCTTCGCTGTTAACCCACGAGCGTCATTTGCTGAGGAATTGAAGTTTTTATTTCTTTCGGATTAACCGAAAGGGGAACACAGACTAAAGGAGAAAATGCCTGACGAAGGTATCTGTCCCCTTTGCAGTTTGTACACACGGTACACAGTATACTATACACTCGTGCACCTATAAAACATCAGTGATTCAAATAATGTCATGGCTTTATAATACATCATCAAGAGAGGATCGCAACTAGTAATATAGATTATGAAAGAAACTTTTTCACAAGTTCAGAGAAAAAACTCATCAATTTGACATGTATAAGATGGCTATAGAACAGTGTCACTGCCTACCAAGAGTGTCCACAGCTCTTTTTTAAATTTTGAAAAGGAGTTAATAAGATCCACGAAGGTCCCAATTGAATTCAATAATTTGGTCACCTGATAATCTTTAGTTTGCTTCCGTAATTTGTTCGAATCTGTGGAGGCCGTCTTAAAGAGTGCCGAATGGTGTATTTATGCACTACATCACCCGTAGTTATATCCTAAAGTTTCTCAGTCTTGATTAATTGCATTAACTTGAAATCACAAATTTGGTTAGCCTTGAGTATACCGTGTGTTTTTTTTTAAAGTGGCTCAGTTCGAAGGGCTTGCATATTTCCCATGTAACTTTCAAATAACCGCAAAATTTTCTTTTGTAATTCAAGAATCTTATTGTATTTTGTGAGCGTTGTTGTACCCCCATACTAAAATACAGTAGCATAAATTTGAGCAAAAAGAGAGTAATATATATATTTTTTAACCATGTAGGGATCAGGTTTCTTATTTTATACAAACATCCAACTGCCTGAGAAAGCTCGGCAGTCAACTTATTTACATGGGCGTTCCAGCTAAGCTCCTGGTTAAACCAAAACCCTAAAAGATTTTTGGTTAGGGGACTTGTCCTCTAATTGCGTTTTCGAAATATAGAGTTATTGGAGCATTATCATGTTTGTTTATTGGAGCAAAAATTATATACTTGGTTTTCTTAGAATTAAGTTGCAGTTTATTTTTATGGAGCCACACTGCTAATCCAGCCAGATAGCTATTTGCCATTGACTGTAGGGAGGCTTTGGAGGCGGAGGCGAAAAATGCGTTGGTATCATCTGCGTATATAATCACATCTAGAGATCTAGGAATAGCAGTAATGTCATTTATATAAAGGAGGAACAACAAGGGGCTTAGGATAGAACCTTGGGGGACACCATATTTTACTTCCAACATGGTTGAGGGAGATTTGTTAACTTTGACGAATTGAAGGCGATTTGTTAGATAATGTTTTATTAAAGCCAAAGCTACTCCTCGTATTCCGCACAGTTGAAGTTTACTTTAAAAAATTGGTGTTGAATCGTGTCAAAAGTTTTGTTAATGTCTAAATAACTACCAGTGTGTATAATTTATTTTCCATGTCGTATATTATTTTATCTTTCGTCTCAACAAGTGCCTGCTCTGATGATTTGTCCTTTTGAAAGCCATACTGAGATTTGTTTATGACATCATGCTTTATAAGAAACTGATATAATCGGCTTTGTATAACTCCCTCAAATATTTTGGAAAATATTGGCAAGACTAATAAAGGTCTAATGAGGAGAGCTCTGCCGTGTGTGTTGCATGCAGGTCGCGATTCTTGATATCAGCTGAAAAACATATTAGTTTGTGCCAACGTTACTACAACCACTCAATTGGGGAACTGCCAGAGAGCCAGCTCTAAAAATGTGGCACCCATTACTACTCGAGAACCGAGCTGATGGCCATCGCAAGGCCGCCAATTTTCCCACAGCGGCCGCTTTGGGAACTGCCCGGCTGCTTCTGTTGGTTCAGGGCTATGGCATTCGATAGGGTTTGCTGTGACGGCTCTAGTTGAGCTTTAATTGGCCACTTTGGCGCCGAAACATATTCGATGGAAGTGGTTTCAGGGATGCCACCCCCCGTCTCCCAAGCGAACGCGCCGCGTATTACTTCCGAAATTAGGACTCGCCCAGGCGGGAAGTGCTCCCTGAAATCACCGGTGAGAGATGGTTGTATAAACACAATATTAATTGTGCCGGAAATCCTTGTAAACTAAAGATTGTAGAAAACATCAGGCGCCTGTTATTTTGTAC